GGATTTTATCAACATCAGTAAAATGCCATATAATCATATGTAATTCATTAAATATCGAAATTAGAAGAAAAATGCACTATTTTTAACTATCGGAAATGCGTGTTTCTAAGGTACATAAATTTTTGGGATTGACTATATAGCCAATACATCCTTAATCAAGTCAATAAATGTTCATTTCAATAGCACTTAGTGACTAATCTCGTACAATTAAATTCAAATGTAGTATTTGATTATATAATTAAATTGAGCTCTGTTTAATCGCGATAATTGCGAACACGACTTCAACGTTATGTCTTAACTAACGGGAGAATGCATCCCTTAATAAACTTAGATTCGTGATCTCGTGCGAATCTACATAGCAGGAACAGAGTCATTTATGAATGTGTTGGGGGATGACTAAGAACCAGGGTCGATTCCGTGTGTACGAAACGCGTATATCGACTATGCGTGATATTAGAGCGCCTGCGTCGTCAGAACGCTCCCTCGTGTGTAACTATTCCCTTTTCTTCCCCTTCTATTAACTATACTTATCAAATGTCTCGAAGGAACGACCAATCTTCTACCTTTATGGCAATTTCGTGTTTCTTCCCCTGCTAAGTGAAACACATTTGCGATCAAGCAGAGCCGTGCTTTTTTGAGAAATATTAAATATGACATGGGGAACTAAGTAAATTAACTAAAATTTCTTAGTAGAAAATAAGGCCGCGTGTCTATTTATTCTCCATCCTTGTATCGTGTTATCATTGCAAATTATCGTTCTATGCATATTCATATTATCTGACATTCTGTTGTACGTTAAATTGTTTCACCCTCCCGTTTAAGTCATAATAATAGACGATGAGACAGAGTGTGATTGATGATTTTCGATCGGAAAATTGAAGTCTATAGGTAATACAGTACGTGCTAAAAACTATATGGGTACCTATGATACGCAATGATGATACGATATGAGGATTCGTAGCTTAATAAGGAGCGGCGTGAAACGGACTTAATATATAGTATAGGCGTCGTGAACCCTGCGCGCTAGAAGAGAGTGGATTTTATCAGTCGAGAGGCCTTCGGCCTTACTTCGAAACCATTAAGCCAGGCATTTATATGCAATCGAGGTCGTTAACTGCAGGAAGCGCCGGCGCGTATACAGAATGCCTCGACTGTGTGTCAAGATGTGACACACGTACTTCTGTTCTCTTCGCGTCTGGAACGCATGCAGGGCATTATTATATTATAGTCTAGCATCGTTCATCGTTCTTATTAATTGACGATAGAATCGGGTAGGAAATCCCAGACTACGGTTTAAATGAAACCTCATGATTCAGAATTAAAAATCGTATTCTTGAAAATCGAATAAGAAGAAATGATGTATCCATCAGTTTTTCTAAAAATGATCATTGTAATGAAGTACATAGGGTAGGAGAAAATAAGTGATTAAAGTTGAAATGAATTTGGAATAATTAAAAGGTTGCGATTAAACGAAATTTTTTGTCAAAAGTTCGTCATTTCGACGCTGGGATGGTCGGATTTTATCAACATCAGTAAAATGCCATATAATCATATGTAATTCATTAAATATCGAAATTAGAAGAAAAATGCACTATTTTTAACTATCGGAAATGCGTGTTTCTAAGGTACATAAATTTTTGGGATTGACTATATAGCCAATACATCCTTAATCAAGTCAATAAATGTTCATTTCAATAGCACTTAGTGACTAATCTCGTACAATTAAATTCAAATGTAGTATTTGATTATATAATTAAATTGAGCTCTGTTTAATCGCGATAATTGCGAACACGACTTCAACGTTATGTCTTAACTAACGGGAGAATGCATCCCTTAATAAACTTAGATTCGTGATCTCGTGCGAATCTACATAGCAGGAACAGAGTCATTTATGAATGTGTTGGGGGATGACTAAGAACCAGGGTCGATTCCGTGTGTACGAAACGCGTATATCGACTATGCGTGATATTAGAGCGCCTGCGTCGTCAGAACGCTCCCTCGTGTGTAACTATTCCCTTTTCTTCCCCTTCTATTAACTATACTTATCAAATGTCTCGAAGGAACGACCAATCTTCTACCTTTATGGCAATTTCGTGTTTCTTCCCCTGCTAAGTGAAACACATTTGCGATCAAGCAGAGCCGTGCTTTTTTGAGAAATATTAAATATGACATGGGGAACTAAGTAAATTAACTAAAATTTCTTAGTAGAAAATAAGGCCGCGTGTCTATTTATTCTCCATCCTTGTATCGTGTTATCATTGCAAATTATCGTTCTATGCATATTCATATTATCTGACATTCTGTTGTACGTTAAATTGTTTCACCCTCCCGTTTAAGTCATAATAATAGACGATGAGACAGAGTGTGATTGATGATTTTCGATCGGAAAATTGAAGTCTATAGGTAATACAGTACGTGCTAAAAACTATATGGGTACCTATGATACGCAATGATGATACGATATGAGGATTCGTAGCTTAATAAGGAGCGGCGTGAAACGGACTTAATATATAGTATAGGCGTCGTGAACCCTGCGCGCTAGAAGAGAGTGGATTTTATCAGTAGAGGCCTTCGGCCTTACTTCGAAACCATTAAGCCAGGCATTTATATGCAATCGAGGTCGTTAACTGCAGGAAGCGCCGGCGCGTATACAGAATGCCTCGACTGTGTGTCAAGATGTGACACACGTACTTCTGTTCTCTTCGCGTCTGGAACGCATGCAGGGCATTATTATATTATAGTCTAGCATCGTTCATCGTTCTTATTAATTGACGATAGAATCGGGTAGGAAATCCCAGACTACGGTTTAAATGAAACCTCATGATTCAGAATTAAAAATCGTATTCTTGAAAATCGAATAAGAAGAAATGATGTATCCATCAGTTTTTCTAAAAATGATCATTGTAATGAAGTACATAGGGTAGGAGAAAATAAGTGATTAAAGTTGAAATGAATTTGGAATAATTAAAAGGTTGCGATGTCGCGACATGTTCTCATCTGAGATGAAACACCACGACAATCATCAAGATAGTGCATTGGTCGAGTCGGAAAAGATCTGTCGCGGAAAAGGGGCTAAAGTTATGGTCATTAGCGTCAGCTTGTACACGCAGAAAGTTTGCGTTATCATTACAATTTACGTATGGACCTACATATGTATGGGAGGCATACAGACGTTACTTATGGTTGTACTTATGTACATGTATACATATGTACGGGCTGTATGTATGCAACGCGTAGTCTAGAGTCTAGACGCTAATCAAGGGAGGGCACGTGTGTCGTTTCTGTCGCCGTTTCTCTTTGCTTTGTTTCACTTTGAGCTTAGGGAGCGCTGCGAGTTCTCACAGGGAATGGCAAAGGAAAACGAGTTTCAAACGTCTCCGTTTAATTTAGTTGAAATTGGGTTTTTATTGAGTTCTTACATTTCACAAGAAGTAATTCGAATCAAAATTCTAGTCAATTTAAGGAAATAGCAATCGGTTCGTTACATCTAATTAATAAAATAATGGTAATCGTTATCTGCAACTTCAAGAATAGTAATCTTCTATTCTATATCTGATTCCGGTTTACCTGTTGTGAATTATAAACGGAAGTGATTCAGCTGACAAACACAAGCTGCTTCTAACGAGACAAAGTTCCCTGTTAATTACACTCGACCCTGAAAGCTTGATATAATTTCCTTCGGCTGCCGAGTAATTCATTCATTTTGTACGCCACTCTCGCGCTTTTGCAAATACAACTACAGTAATTAACATGTTTCATATGTATCGTCATTAAACATGTAATATTGATGAATTTTACTTTTTTTCTACATGCTTATAATTGTACTACAGTATTTTTTAGTCATATAGCAGAATTGTGTCCCTCTTTCCAATTATGTGACAATTACTCCCTATTTATGGTCGCATAAAATTTTCATTTTAACTTCCTACGAACGTAGGAATGTTTTCGCGTCCGAGATTTTCATAGAACCACCAATTGAACTTGGTAAATTCACTTGCATGGACGAGTTTACGGGAATTCCAGACGTAGTTTTCCTCCCTTCGACGAGGAACGAATCGTGCGTGAGATCAAGATACAGCCACGCGTGACTCGGTGTCGAACAGAGAGCCAAAGAATAGCTCTGGATCTCTGTATATCGGTTCCGTGCGAAACGGCCAGGCTGGCGTAATTAGTAACACATGTGGCTGGTAAACCCCGCCCATCGATAGACTGCCAGGCCGAAGAGAGGAAACTCTATGTTTGGTGAACCTGAGAAAACAGTATAACCGAAAACCATACTCGTTTTGTCAATAATTAACAATTATAGAAATTAAATTTAGTTTCGTATAATA